TACAAGCCTTTTGCTCTTCTAATTGAAATGGGCTACTCCCATACTGGTACATTTAATAGCACTAGGAGATACTCTTAGGATGGGAACTCAGCCCCCTGCACTGTGGTAACAGTTCCGGGAATAGTTTTGACCTGTTCCAAATAGCACTTTCCCAAGTAACTCCTGACTGCTGTCTGGGAATGAACACCAACAACTCCTAGTAAACACTTTGAATGCAACCACCCCATTTTGGGAGGTAACAAAGTTCATTAGCAATGGAAACAGGCAGTCTCAGGCCTCTTGGCTTCAGAAGTGACAGTGATTGACAGTGTTTAATTCATTAGCACATATGCAGCTGTGGTGGAGTGAAGCACAATACTGGATTTGGGAGCCGAAAAACTCTTAAGAGCTGTCATGGGAAAACACTGACTCTGCTGCCAGGGTCATTGAGTAACGTGCTAGGAGGGGACAGTGCATGACTGTGGAAATCAGTCCATGTTGCAGACTCTTTCTGTGAGTCCTCAGATATACGGCTTTGCATTTCACAACTATTCTTCGGGCAGAGAGTCCTTTCTTAAAAGCTGTTACATAAAAGCACATACTTGAAGCTCAACAAGTACATGTAAAATGCAGAAACATGAATCTGCTAGGTGTTCCACTGAGAATGGTGTAGTTTAGGGACTTAGACTCGGCATCCTGCACTCACAAGCTACTTGTAGATGAGAGACTCTGCATGCATTTCTTATTGTTTGGGACTAAATGCATGTGCTGCCCCCATTCTCACTGGGGTGAGACAAAGGGGTGGATATAAAAGTCAGAGTAAGCCTAGGGTCCTCTGGCCTAGGTAGGAGTTCCCATGCTCTAAGAGGGTCACAAGCCTTGACAGTCGAGAAGCAGAATGCTCCATAGTTAACCCCAGCATGCAACTGTGGAAGATCTGAAGACCCACAACTAATCTCCTTGCACGACCTGAGGTCTAAAATCCTGTGCAGAATACAGGCTTTAACTTTGTGTGTCACTTGGTCTTAACTCCTGTCTAGTTGGGCAACTTCTGTCACATCTACAAGGCAAACAGAAGAGCCAGTCCAGAAAATGATTCATCCTTAAGGACATGAATAACGATACGGACTCAGGCCCCAGTATCTTATTCCAGCCACAAGTTGCAGAGCACTGCTCACTAAGCTTTTCATTTGAGACGGTATTCCTCTCAGAACAAAGATGTAAAGAGATTTAGATTAGATATAAGGAAGAAATTCTTTACTGTGAGGGTGATGAGTCACTGGAGCAGGTTGCCCAGAGAAGCTGTGGATGCCCCATCCCTGGAGGTGTTCAAAGCCAGGTTGGGTGGGGCTTTGAGCAACCTGGTCTAGTGAAAGGTGTCCTTGCCCATGGCAGGGGAGTTGGAACTCGATGATCTTTAAGGTCTCTTCCAACCCAAACCATTCTGTGCTTCTATGATTCTATGCAAATAATTTTTCTGCCTACACATAAAGTTCTTGGCTTTAAGTCTGACTAACATTAAAAATGCATCAATTAAAAAGGCTTCTTGTAATCTTCATTACCGCTTCCCAATGAAACCAGTGGCAGTTAATCCTTTTGCTTTAATTGATGGATATTGAAATGCCAGGACACAGAAAATTATACTGTCTTTTATGCCAGTGCTTTTGGAAGAAAACAAGAAAGCACAATACTTCTGCACATATCATAAATCTATTTCTTTCTCTTGACAGCTTTTGAAAGATAATGGCCACTCTTATTACTGCTGAAAACAAGACAGCTCCTGAATTCCTTGTTTTCTCAAGCTGTAGGATCTCCAGCATTACAATTCTGCTCTAATGAATGTGCACAAGTATACTAAGAGCCATTCAAAAACAGTAACAAAAAGTAAAAATACAGAATCCTGAGCCAGGTAAATCATTATAGCCACTTCAGAGAGGAGACAACCTGATCAGCCACTAAGACAACAAAAGTAGCATCTAGAGCTGAATGAGATGGACACATCAGTTTCCAAATTCATTGCCAGTAAGTAATGCTAAAGTGATATTTCTCCCAATTCAGCTGAAAAACTAAAAACCATGTGTAATGCATATATCATGTTAGTTTCACACATCTGCTCAGAAGTTTTATGTTTTTTTTAAACAACAGCAGGACTCCCCCTCTCAAAACCAAACCCAAAATACAAAACTGAATTTAATTCAAGACGCATCTTTTTGCAGCACCAGGAAGCATACCGACACTTCTCCTCACTTCAACATGTTTAATTGGCTAAGCGTAACAACTTCCTCAACTTTTGCAGAAATTAAAATCAGTTGCTTAACACTATCAAAGGCTACCCACAAGAAAAGCTGCCCTTTTTTTTTCAGTAAGGTCCATGGCGGGTGTGTTCTTACTAATGCTCTTGTTCCTTCCTCCACAAGGGCTCTGCCTTGTGTGTTGCC